TATATATATATATATATATATATATATATATATATATATATATATATATATGGATATACATATACATATACGCGAACACATCACTAGAGCTGGAATAAGACGATCGTTCGAAACTTTTGCTTTCAGTTTGTTTTATTTTCGTCCAATTACCCACGAGATGGATTAAAGATTACACAAAGTTTCGATTTGGAACTGGCTCTGATAACGAGAGTTGGTGGCAAGGGTTGAGATGGGCAAAATGACGCAAGATGCGGATCATGATATCGCCGATTCCAAGTGTTCCGTAACGATTGCTCTGTCCAGGCTCTAGTAATCACACAGAAAAGGAGAAATTAAGATAGAAAAGAAAGAAAAGAAAAGAATAGAAGAATAGAACGTGGCAGTACAAGAAGGGTGATTAGAGGAGCCTTCCGACTTTCGACTTTCGACTTCGACTGCCTGCGTACGAAGGATCGTATTTTCTTACGAGTGTGAAAAGAGGAATTGAACGAGCATTTCTTAAAATAAAATGAAAGAAATGCTCGATGTTCTTTCAAAAGTTTAAAAATATTCAGAGAACGAAGGAAATTGGAGGCTTTGAGTTGAACTTGAATTTTCTTATGGGTTAAATCGAAGGGTTAAGATAATATCGCAGCCCATTAAGAGGTGGTGTTCCTAAAAATAAATTATACGTTTCAAATAGATATTATTGGAAACGGAAAAAAAGTGTCTTGCTTTGTGTAATCAATAATGCAAGTAATTCGAGTCGACAAAGATAAACCTGATGAAAACACACCTGTTTCTAAAGTAAATTCAGATTTTGCAATCAGTCGAGCAAAAGACTTTGTCGTTGAAGAAAGGTTTCATTTTACGTATAAAAAGTATCAATCGTTTTTCTGGGCCAATATTATCTTGATCGAATTGTATAACACTTTGGGAAGGGGTCTGGCTCTGACGAGAAAGAAATAAAAATGTGACGAGAGATAGAACTGAATGAAAGAAAGAAAGAAAGAAAGAAGAGGGAAGAAGAAGGAAATCAATTAGGCTCGACACGATCGCTCGCACGCATGATCGAAAGGAATGTTTAAAAAGAGAAACGTTGAACAAGAAAGCAATCCACGGGTCGAGTCTATACACATCGTTTCACTTCGTTTTTCATCATCTTCGTCGCGCTTCTATTTTCTTTAGTTCTCTAGCAAAAAGATTCCAATAAGGCATAGACTTGGTTGCAACGACCAGCACAGTTAAAAAATCGAACGTTCCGAAACAATCAAATATATATATATATATATAGAATGTCATCGAACTGGTAGTGCAAAAGATGGCGTATCTATCTTAAAAAATAAGTCGAAAATATGGACATTACGTAACATTATTTCTTACGAAACTTCGCTACTCATTTTTTTTCTTGTGAACTTGTTATAATATTTGATTTATACTTTCAATCTTAATCTTTCTTTCTTCTTTTTCTTTTGAAAATTGTATTAATACAGATTTTACACGATGTTTAAAAAATAAAGAATGTACGTGGAAAAATGTAAAAAGATCGACACCTCGAGAAATCAAGTTATCCAAGAAAAAATATTTACCCACATTTCCGACTTATCTTATCATAGACTCGCTCTCTTTCGTGTTGAAATATCAATTCGATAATATCCTAATATATAAGCACATATACATATAAATGGATATACGTATATATTATACCATATAATGCCGATCATACAAATATATACGTATATACGTATGTATATATGTATATATGTATTAAATATATTATATATAATATATATATATATGTATATGTATATATGTATATAATATTAACATGACAGTCAACGACATCGAGAAAAATCAACGAGGTGCGACTGATAGCACACATCCAACTGTTAGCGCGGCTTATCCATCATGTATATATTTATATATGTATGTATTTATTGCGAAGCACCGGCACCCCCGCATACGTATATAAATATATATACACATCACACGTAATATAAATACAAGTACAGACAAGTGCAAGTCTTACGGCATCATATACACGTGACGTTAAATATTAATAGATACACAATGTGTGGATATACAGATTGGTATATATAGGCCTTTTGTTTGAGATGATTGACTTAGATTGCACTCACCATGTTATAATCATTTATTTTGCTGATAGAGCGGAGAAAGATGTTGACCATCACATTTGTCGGCTCATCTAATACGTCGACCGGAACAGAACAAAACAAATCGATTAATTAAAAATCAGTTACCGTGGTACCGAGATTTGCATGGATTTTTTTATTTTTTTTTTTATTTTTATTTTATTTCTTTCGCTTAAATTTCTTTTTTTTTTTTTTTAATTTTGATACATGGTCACTTCTTTCCGGGATTAAAACCGGGAGTTTCTTTTTTTTTTTTTTTTTTTTCTTCTCTTTTGGAAAAGCTACACGTGAGTGAAGAAGGGAATGGTAATCTCTGGGATCGTGATCAGGAAATATATTTGATTTCTTTTTAATTTTAATTTTTCTTTCTTTTCTTACTTTTTGCGAGAAAAAGTATCTACGAAACGGTTTCCAGTTTCAAGATCAATATCGCTAAATTTCTTTTTTCTTTTTTTTTTTTTTCTTTAATTTCGTTTTTCTATCTGCTAGTTTTCCCATTACTAGTGATTCGTACTTGCTTGCCTGTAAAAACGTCGTCTCTTCGATATAATATAGGACGAAAGCGGATGATTATGAAATGTCATGGAAGTATGATCTGTACGCGTGAGAACATCCAAGCTGGCTAATGTTCCGTGATGAAATGTTTCGCGATGCGGCAACAGGAGTTGAATTGTAAAATAGTAAACGTTGAGAGCAATCAGTTTATTTTATGCGCGACAATTGGACGCCATTTCACGGCACTCGCCAAGAATTAACGACTTCTATGTGTCTTTCAGATTTTTTTCTTTTATTCTCCCAAGCTTCGCGATTCTTTTTCAATCTTTTAATAATCTTACAACATCATACAACATCTTCATTCCATCGGAAAATTCCGTTTTAATGTAACTTGGCGTGTTTCCAAACGTTCCAAAGAAAGAACGAAAGAAAATTTTAGGATTGAAAATTTTCGTTAAAATGATCTTCTAAAAGAATAAAATTGTTTTTTGGATAGGCAAGTTTCATTAAAATTTGAGAATTTTCGTATCGTATGATTGATCTTTGCTAAATGAGAGAAGGAATTTATCAATGAAATACAAGAAGATGGAAAAGTTTGGGAAAATATAATGAAAAGATATAAATCGAAGGATTTACCTCTGAACAAAATATCTATTTTACACTGAAATGTGCTGAATGGAATGTTTGTTTTATCTTATTTTCGCTTCTCTGTATAAAAATTTATCGATTTAATTATTATTAAGGCAGTTACGATCCGTTAACTACGTGGATTCTTTTTCAAGAAACAGTACAGTTTGAGACTGCAATAACTGAATTAAGTATCGAGTTAAGTATAGTGTTCAACTGTTTCGAGTAAATTAGCTTCTCCTGCAATAGAAATGGGAATGATTAAAATAAGAGTGGCAACTTTTACAGCTTTTAAATCTTTCACTACAGAAAACAGTTCCATTGTTTTTTTTTTTTTCAAACAATTTGCTAAGTGTGATCGATCGATAAAAAAGGTATTATACAATTTTTTACCATCCGAGTAATAAGAAAGAAGACTATATAATATATTTAACAAGGAGAAGTATGTATGTTGTATTTATTTGATATAAAGCAGAATGACACAGTGAAAGATGAAAAGACGAAACACAGTCATACATTTAAGATTACGGATAGGATACCTATTTAAGTACAACGATAATTAAAAAAAACATTAACAATGAGTGAAACAGCTAAAAATTATCATGAAAGTCTGACGATGAAAGAATGAGCGAAGACAATGTTATACACAGCGAAGCTATTGTTTTTCTTTTTTTTTTTTAAATTTCTAAGAATAAAAATAATTACTCACCAATTGTAAAGCGAGCAACAATTTTTTTAGTAACAATGTGCAACTTGTTTGGAAGGGTATTAAAACGAGTCGAAGTCGAAACAAAAGGTAGAAATCTCTTGACAATGGATGATGGATTGAACTCTTATGAAAGTACTATTTCGATCGTTACAATTCGCGAGGAATGAGATGAGAATGATTCGTTTCGTTTTTTAAGCAGCTTCAAGATACAGTGATAACGATTCTTCCCTTTGTCGTCTTTGTTTTGCATTTGCACGGGAAAACGAACGAAAAATTATTGGAAAATCGTGGAAAATTTCGTCTCGAGAAACGTAGAGTCTCGAAAAGTCTCGATCAAATGGAGATTTCGACGAAAAGATGTGCCAACAAGCTACAAAAACAGAGATAAATGTAAAATATTCTTTATACAGGGTGAAGCACGTAAAGTGTTCATGCTCTCTTTGAAATTTCTGCAGATATCTTTAGATGAAATTGAAGAAAAAATCCCTTTGTTTTGGATTATTGCGAATTTTCGAAATCCCTTCCTTCTTTTTTAATAGAATGGCAACATTCTTTGCTTTCATAATATCATAATATGAAAAGTTCTCGAGATGATACAATCTTAAATTTTATCGATTTTATCAATTCAAAAAAAAAAAAAAAAAGAAGCGAGATAGAGATTCTTGTGAACAAATTGTGTTCCACCCTCTAAAATTTGTCACATCAAAGGTTATTATTTCCTATAATTAAAAAAATAAGGCAAAGTGTCGAAGAGAAGAATATGTACGTACGTGATTCAGCTTGTACAACAATATAATATTGAAAAAATAGATAGGAATATAATAAAGAAAAGCAAGGAAAAGCTAGAAAAAATATAGTAAGAGAACTTATAAAACATTGTAAAACACTGTAAAAATCATTCAACGAAAATTGAAGTTTAATCGTACTTCCAAAAGTACCCTGCTCCTTCAACGAGATCTCTGTCACAATTTTACTTCTTCGATTATTTTCCTATCGATCATCAACCATCGTTCTTCTTCATCGAAATTTCCATACTTCAAAAGCTTATTTAGACGCCATCTTGCAGAAATTGATAATTTCAAGTACGACTCGTATAAATTACATTCACGTAGAACGAA